TCAACATTTTCAGTATTATAACAATTCAATACATTCAGATTTAAGTTTTTATAGCAATTTTACAAACAAGAGCAAACTGAAACCTTTCCCTATACAAACATACAAACAAACAAACAAAGAACACAGGAACAGACGGGGGGCCCCCAAGAACAGTCTTCCAACTCCGTGGAAGTGGCGCCTAAAACTAAACGACGGCCTCACGCCGACTACCTCGTCCTGAGAGGGAATTCTATGTCCCTCCTAAAGGAGGATCAAAACGTCTTTTGATCTCTCCGGCCTGTGGTCTTCAACAGCGCGTCCGCTAGACCTTTCAGGCACTTCCCACAGGGATCCCTTCACACACTTTTACCGCGGCCAGACAGGCTCTCCGGATTCAGAGTCCCTCAGTCTTGGAGATCCCGGACGAGCCCCCATCTGTTGTGCCCAAGTGTCATAAACCCCAAAGACTACCAGGGAGCCGAATCCGATGCAATTGCAGAGAGTCTGTATTTATTTCGGACTAGTCTGAGCCCAGTCTCACCTACACCAACGAGGGCATGGGCGAGAAAGAGGAAGAACTTAACATATCAATGGGTTTTATAGGGAGGGTGGTGCTGCTACCTTGGCTGACCTGATTGGTTGGGTTAGACCTAGGGTCCAGTTACCTGGAGCTGGACCCGCCCCCACCTGCCCTCTCACCCCACCTGCCCTCTCGCCCCGCCTGCCCCCTCACCCCGCCCTGCCCTCTCAGTACCATATATATTTGGCCCTGTTGATTAATGAGTTTGCCGACCATTGATCTAAGGCCCTTAGTCCTGTCTACAGTCCATGCACTAAAGCATTAATACTTGGCCCTGCAGGAGCTCTCTTGAATTCTGCTTTAGCCTCCTAGCACCACAGCTCCCCAGAGGGCAGTCCTACTGACAGTATTCATTTAGAACACATTAAGTACTTGTGCTCTAGTGCCAACTGCCTGGGTTCAAATCCTAACTCTCCTACTTAAAAGAGATGTGATTTGAGGCAAATTAACACACACACACACACACACACACACACACACAAACACACTAGAGGCCTGTTGCACGATATTTGTGAAAGAATAGGCCCCTGGCTTCACTCCTAGCCACCTGGGAGCCAGCACTTCCCTGCTCCCAGGCCACCTGGAGTCGGCACATCCCCACTGCTGGTGGCCCAGGATCTGGCAAGTCCCTGCTCCCCGGCCACCTGGGAGCTGGCATGTCCCCACTCCCAGGCTGCCCAGAGCCAGCAAGTCCTGGCTTCTGTCTGGAGCACCACTTCAGTAGCTCTCTCCACTACCCCCTTCCCCTCATAGCAGGCTTCACACTGCTCTGTGCCTGCATATGCAAATTAACCTCCATCTTTGTTGGAAGTTACTCACTCTGACTGTGGGCATAGTGGAGTGATGATTGATTTGTATATTTCTCTTTTATTAGGTAAGATATTATTTTTTATTTTTTTTTACTCAGTTTTCTTCACCTCTAAAATGGAGATGATAATGTATCTATCTCAAGGGATGGGCTTGAAACTAAATGCATTAATATAGAGAGAGCATTTAGAAGAGATTTGACTCATAGTAGGTATAATAAAAGTGTTATCACCTGAGGATATTTTTCCATTGATTTTTAGAGAGAGTGGAAGGGAGGGGGAGAAACAGAAAGAGAGAAACACTGGTATGAGAGAGACACATCAATTGGTTGCTTTTGCATGCTCCCCAACAGATCCTGGATTAAACCTGAAACTGTGGTATGTGCCCTTGACCAGAATCGAACCTGGGATCTTTTAGTACCAGAGCTGACTTTCTATATACTCAGCCAATCTGGCCAGGGCTACAATTTTATTTTTTTATAACTCTTTCCTTTGTAGTAATTACAACCATTTTAACTCTCCACCAGTTTAAATTTTATCAATTCAAATAATGAGGACTATGGATAACCTGCTATGGATAAGGCAAAAGCAAAGACATAAAAACAAATAAAACATGATACCTTTCATGAAGAATCCTATATATACAAGCCTAATATGCTAAGTGTCTGTTTGTTCAACCAATCAAAGTGTAATATACTAATGATATGCTAAGGCCATTCAACTGCTAGCTATGATGTGCACTGACCAATAGGGGGGAGATGCTCCAACTGGTAGGTTAGCTTGCTGCTGGGGTCTGGCCAATCAGGAATGAGCAAGACAAGCAAGACATGCCCTGGAGCCCTTCTGCAGTCACTCCCTAGCTGGCCAGCCTTCAACGTCCCTCCCCTACCCTGATCATGCATCAGGGGGTCCCTCAGTCTGACTTATGCTCTCTCACAATCCAGGATCCTCCAGGGGATGTTGGACAGCTGGTTTTGGCCCCATCCCACAGGCCAGGCCAAGGGACCCCACTGGTGCACAAATTTGTGCACTGGGCCTATAGTCTTATAATAAAGTACTGTGATGGAATTGAAGACTTCCATGTGGTAAAGAAAGTGATTCGGGTTGTTCAGTGTTAGCAAACTCAAATTCCAGGCAGAAAATGAAGAGACACCATGGGCTAGATGGTGAACACCAGAGAGGACATCCCTTTCCAGGAAGGAGCCAACATGTGGCTCTAGCCAGTTGTTGCATGACAAAATGTGGTCCCAGTGATGCCAGTTTTCCAAATCTCCAAAGAATGTCAGAAATCTGGATTTTTATGTTAAATTTTAAAACATTGGCAATTACAGTATAAAGTAGAGAGTAAAGGAGAAAAGAAAGTTTCTCAATGACCACATAAAAGATCTCAAAAAGTCTGGAATGCCGCTCAGAGTACACAGAAGTTCTAGAGGGCCCCTGGGCAGAGTGATAGCTGTAGTGACCCTAATTTTTCCCCAGCAGTGCCATCTAGAATGGTATTGAGAGAAGTTGGTCAAAATATTTAACCATTAGCACAGTTAAAAAAAAACACAACACAACAAAAATATAACTGTAAAAGAATATATAATTGAAGAAGTTGAGTGAATAAGTTTTTGTGACTCATACAGATGACATTAGAATTGGAACTCCATCTAGTTCAACTGTCAGGCTGTGTGATGTGGGAAGTTCCTTAAATAATTCCCATTCTTCCTGGGCCGTCATATGACCTTGAACAAATCACTTAACTCCTGTGGACCTATTTCTGCCTTAGCAAAAATGTAGGTAATAGCAAATGTTCCCTTGCATGTTTTGTAAGTGCTGAATGAGACATAATATTGTCTGGTTATGAAATACTTATAAAATGGTAGTGATTCTAGATGAAAGTACAAAGGCTCCAGAAGGACTTGCTACTTAGTTGAAAAGTCAGAATTAGAACCCAAACCACATGAATCCTGGCTAATGGTTTTTAAAAAAAATATATATTTTATTGATTTTTCACCAGAGGAAGGGAGAGAGATAGTTAGAAATACCAATGAGAGAGAAACATTGATCAGCTGCCTCCAGCACACCCCCCACTGGGGATGTGCCCTCAACCAACGTACATGTCCTTGACTGGAATCAAACCTAGGACCCTTCAGTCTGCAGGTTGATGCTCTATCCACTGAGCCAAACCAGTTTTGGCTTGGCTAATAGGTTTTTTTTTTTTTTTTTTTTTTTTTTTTTTTTAATGAAACATCATTCATATTGTAGCTGACTGTAATTAGGTTAAGGAGAATAAAAATACTCTATTGGAGGCAAGATAAAACAGGGATTCACCTAAATTTGTTTCAGTTATTATAGCTATGCCTATACTCTGATTATCCTAGTATATTAGAGAAATTCAAAAGACTGAACTAAAGGTATTCTTAATCGGATAAAAACTTTTGATTTGAATATTTATTATGGAGTTAGAGGCATGTACTGTGACTTAGTTCTTGGGGTTTTACTGGTGCAATTCTCAGGTTAGTAACTAGCTGAATTGTCTTTGTTGTTTTCTTAAGAATCTTTTCTTTTTGGTCTGGATTATCTGAAGACAGGTGAATGTTACAAAAATAAAAGTTGTCCCCCCTCTTTCGGTCTCCAGAAGCTGACTTGCCCTGGCTTTATTGATAAATGGGGACAACTGAGCCTCAGCAGCGACTCTGGTCATGTATTTATATAACTTGCCCCCAGATATGAAACTTCCCAGAACATGCTCTTCAAAAAGACAATAGCCTAAAACATTTTAGAATGTAGTTTGTGACCCTGACTCTGACACTTTTCTTTCCCTTGAAACATAATGTTTTTGTATAACAACATTAAACATACCAGTGTCAGCCTAAAAAAACACAACGCTTTAATTGTTTTGTTTTAGTATTGGTGTCTGTGTCCTGGGACTCAGGGGTGAGTCTGTCCTCCGCTGGTAATGAAGACCCTGAAGCTCTTCACCTCTAGACCCTGCTGGAAATAGGCCATGTCGAGGCTATCAAGGGATCCTTTCAAAGATTATAGATAGAGTGTAGGAGGTTTGGTTATTTTGTTTAAAAATGTTTTTCAAACTACATATCAAGCTATAAGGCAGCTTGGGGATGACATTCATTTTATACTGTAAAACACAGTTACAAAATAGTATTAATGCAGTGCTTTTTTTTTTTTTTGAAGTAAAGTAAATATAGATGCAATAAGTTTGAGGTATGAAAAAAGAGAGAAGAGAATCAAATCTCAGGTAATTATGGCTCTGGTCAAAGACATTAAAAATACTGAAAAAAAAGACTTTTGGGCTTGAAATGCCTTTGGCAAAATTATTTAGGAATAAATAATGTAAAATATCCCAGAGTATAAAGTAAGAATAGAAATCTTGACTAGTTGGACAAGTTCTTAATTTATTTCATGATAATTTCCAAATCACACGAGACTATCCAGCCTGTGAGTGGAATGCTGGGATTTGTAATTTTGAGTCATTCCAATGGATGTGGAAATGACAAAATTTACCTCGTTATAAAGGTCCCCTGTATTAATGTTAAAATTTAGATCTCCAATAATCATACTTTCTTGACAATCGAATTTGGTTGTGTGCATGATCTGTTATTGGACTTTTTGTTTATTAACTATTACAGGATTCAAAAGATGAAGATAATGAGACAGAAGGCAGTAGGATGAGAAAATTAAGAAGGACAAGAAAGAAAGTCACTAAATCTCATATTTCTTCAACTGAAATAGAAGAGATGTATATGACCAACTCAAAAGGTATCTTGTACAACTTTTTGGCTGGTTCAGTCGGTGGAGCATGAGACAGTGAATCTCAAATATCTTACTATCATTATCTTTCAGGAATGTGTTATCAATGACAATCTTTATTTGGTCCACATTTTCATAATAAATTTGCTTTTCTTCTATGAAAGAAGCAAAAACAAATAAAATTTATTTGTACAAAGTCAACTTAAAAGATGATAAATACAGGGTTACAATGTAAACATATAAAAACAATCAGCCAAAATATTCAGAATTTAAAGGGGGAAGAATGAGGAGATAAGTGGTAAAAAAAGAGAACATAATAGAAGAAACATATAAGTAAGAAGAGAAGCAGATTTCTGTTCTGAGAATGAGTAAAAAGATGATTATTAAAGATTTGGGAGGCCACAGTAAAGGTGGGGGCTCATTTTCATACCACATGTTGGAATTCCATCTAGACTCGGATGGGTCTGAAACAGTGGTGAGACTAGGAGTTAATTTGGACAACTCACTCCATTCTAGGAACAGTAGTGTTTTCCAAGGCAGGTCAGTAGGAAAGGGCAGTGCATGGCAGCAATCAAAAGCAGCCAGACTTTTTATAGATTTTTAAAATTATTTTTAAATTCTCTAGAGACATTACACCTCCTAATGGCCTGCAACCAGGGCGTACTATGCTCACTGCCCTTTATTTGGTATTTTACTGCCTAGGAATGAATTATTTCCACAAGCATTTCTCTCCATGTCATATTGGAAGACAGTTGAAAACAATGGCATTGTCCCTTAACATTTTTTCTGTATTACTACAGAAAGGATCAAAGGACAAATGGTGTGTCACAAATTAGAGGATATGAGCAAAACAGTTGTGGGACCTAGCTCTGATGATGAGGACTCCCAGGATCATACAGCAGAGATGAAACCCTCACCCCTCAAAACATCAGCCAGTGCTCCCAGTAGTGAATTCAACCCTGACTCCAGCTGTACTGGTAAGGACCCTGGGACAAACAGACATATAGTTCAAGCCTCTCGTCCTAAATGTGTATGTGAATTACAGATAATGTGATGTTGGTTGAGGAATGCTAGCCTGGGAGTCAGAATACGTAAGAGAATATCAGCCATCATTGATAAAGTGCTTTGCAGTTTTCTTTACACACTAGGCTGCCCATCTAGAAAATGAAAAGTTTATAATGGATGATCTCTCAAATCTTCTAAAAGTGAAATTCTGTTACTCTAAATTTATGGCTTATTAAATCAGTGATACAGCTATTTTGAACTATGAATGTATTGGTTAAAAATCTCTGAGATCCAATTGAAAGAAACTGGTTAAAAAGAGGTATTTTTTTCTCCCTATGAAGGAATCAATGTTGAAAAGTAAGAAAATAGCAGTTTGTGACATTAGAGGTACAGTATTCACCAAACAACGTTTACTTCTGACACTAATTGCATGTTTGGGAGTTTCCCAAGATTAGTTTTGATAATTCACTATAAGGAATCACAGAAGTCACTGAAAGTGATTATACTCAAGGTTATGGTTTATTATTGTGAAAGAATACAGGTGCATGAGGTGGGCTGGTCTAGGAAAACAGGAAGTGGTGCTGGCTGTGAGAAACTAGAGTAGAGGGTGACAAACTATAGCCCATGGACCAAATTAGTTTGTGAGCTGGTTTTTGTAAAGAATCTTTATGTGTTGTCTAATGACATAGTTGGTAGTTGGATACCATATGGCCTGCAAAGTTGCAAATATTTTCTATCTGGCCCTTTATAGAAGGTATTTGTCATTCCATGAATTAGAGCATGCATGCACCATTCCAGGCTACCTCAGTACTCCAGCCAATGGTTGCTAATGAAGACATATCCATCTAGTATTTCAAATATAGTTTTACCAAGAGGCTTCTCAAAATTTTTATATGAAATTTTCTGATATTAGAGTGTCAACTAATTCAAAATATTTTTCAAACATTGGGAAGACTAATATGAAAACATCTGTCAGCCATCTTAGCTCTTCCATGAGCAATCTGTAACCTTCAGCCAAAAAAGAAGATGGAATTTTCCATTTCTTAGTCTCAAGTCAAAAAATCTGAGGAAAGAATTTGTGTCATGAGCTGTCTCTGCACAGATCAACTTGGTGCTTGTGTACCATTTTTTGATTCAATTTAGTTAATTCAGAAGCTCCCTCTTTGGCCCAGGGCAGGATTAAGTGTTTTTTTTTTTTTTTTTGTTTTTTTTTAAAGCCCTAAGCACCAAAAAGTTTACAAACTCAAACAAAACACTTACATGTGTATTTTAAGTATATAATTTAAAATTAAGCATAAAAAAACTAACCCTCAAATACTAGTAAGTGCAAGGCATTTCAACATTGCCTTTTCTTCTCTATAATTCTTACTCTGAATTTTCATATGTATATAAAAAGCTCCTCCCTCCCTTGGAAATGTGCCCCCCACATTTTTACATGTTATTTTTCTGTCCCTGCTTTGTACCAGGTTATTCTGCCACTTGTGGGGTGAGCATGAGGGTGGGGTACATTTGCACTGGCAGGGTGGCGCTCAGAGGTGCCATGTGGATAGAGAGAGGCAGGCCCTGGGAAGGGAGCGTGGCAGATTATCGCCAGCCTTCCATAAACTGAGTGCTTATCGAGTGCACTTTCTGAAATAGTATTTCCGAAAGCCCACATGCCCAGCTAATCTTTTATAAGTGACTTGGGCTTGCTCTCTGAAACTGAACTATGTCCTTGTTGTCACTGAACACCGCCTTCTAGTTGGTACGAAGTTTGGAGGTTTTATGTGTTTTTTTGTTTGTATGTATTTCCTGATTTCTTCCCCCTAAACATTTACACTGGTAAAACTTCCTGTATAAAAGCACACTGATTTAATTTATTAGTCCGCTGAGGGGATGGAAAAGGAGAACACCTCCCAGGAACCTCACTGTAAGAAAAACAAATGAGACCCTGAACTGGCAATTATCTGCCTGCTATTCATCATGGGCATCTGGGAAAGGCTGACCAAAAGGTTTAATTGTAACTAACAAGTATGATTTATTTGGAGAAAAGAAATTCAGACAATGATGCAGCGAGATTAGTTACTGCCTTGAAAATGAAATTAGATTGGATAGGGTTCTCATAGTTGGTGAAAGAAATGAACTTTTAAATGAGAAAATGGATACTTAGGAAGCATGCAAAAGTATGTGATGTCGATTTTTGCTTCTTAATTAGACAAGGTCAAATCACACAGCATATATGAATAAATGAATGAATGAATGAATGAATGAATGAATTGACTCACACACCTGCTTATGAAAGCTATCCAGTGCCTATGATATGCCTGTACTGCTACAGGTACCAGGGTTACAGCAGCAAGTGAAGCTCAGCCCCTGGCCTCTTGAAAATGACATGCAAATGGGAAAGACAGACAGTAACGTGTGTCATAGAATATGCAGGTGGTGATGAGGACTCTGAATGAAACTAGAGCTAATTTACTATGGACTAAATTGAGTCCCCTCCTCCCCCCAATTAATACGTTGAAGTCTAAGCCCCTAGTACATCATAATGTGATTGCACTTGCATATGGGATTTTAAAAGAGATAATTAATGTTGAGTGAGTTGTGTAGGGTCTCTCCTGAGTCCAATATGACTGGTGTCTAGTACTGAGTCCTTATAAGAAAAAGTGATTAGGACACACACAGAGGGAAGACCGTGTAAAAAGGACACCTGTAAGCCAAGGAGAGAGAGCCTCAGAAGAAACCAACCCCCTGACACCTTGATCTTGGACCTTTACCCTCTAGTGCTTAAGAAGATAAGTTTCTGTTAAAGCTACCTGGTATTTGTTAGGGCAGCCCCAGCAAACTAATACATATACTCACTATCCAGCCATGGTGAAACTTGGTGATCTTAAACCAAATCAATGGTTGGCCCTGTGCACATTGTGATCAAATCCCATGGACCTAAAACTATTCTAGGTGATTATGTTTTATTCTTTTTTTCAGCACTTTTCACCACAAATTATCTCAGCTTTGCATTCAATGGCATGTTTATTGCCTACAGTTCCCTCATTCAATATTATAAAGCTGTGTGAGGTCAGGGATATTTCTGCAGCTCCTTAGATTATGTCCAGAATAAATAGTAGTGATAACTTAAAAAAAAAATCTATCTTGAATGGATCAATATTTTTCTTTTTTAGAAATAACACATATTTATTGTAGAAACTTAGAAGACACAGATAAGGTAAAAGACTAATAGAATTACCTGTAATCTAACATTCTAACTTTTTCTGTTGTTAAATTATGGGAGTAGGGCTGAGGAGCCAATGGGGAAAAATGAAGAAAAAAAGGGGGACACTTGTAATACTTTCAACAATCAAGGTAAATTAAAAAACAACAAACAACACTTGTAGCTTATACTAGTATTTAATTGCTTATGATGTTTAGAACATTGATTATCTGAAATTTTCCATATTTTAACTTGCTTATAAATTTTATTTTCTGTAAGGAGAATTATTTAACTTGGGCCGAATACCCAATAATTCAGAATAGGTTGGGAACACAGCAACTGCTAATTTAGCATGAAATACTGTAATTGCTACAGCTTAATTGTTTGTGTTAAATGGAAGGTAGTAAAAAACCCTCAGGAGTCTCAGTGTAGCCAAATGTATCAGTAACAGGACATTATCTCTAATATATTTGCATAGGTGAAACCAGTAATTTGTTTTCCTCATGCTTCATGTACTTTCAATCCACTTAATCTATGTTTTAAACTGTCTGTCTTTATGCTTATTTTTAAAGCCTAGTTATATGTCAAAAAGGATACTCAGGTATTACTTTAAAATTAAAGCTGCTCAGTGTCAGGGATGTGACAGATTGATGGGTATTCAATACACATATGATCAGAGTACCATTACTAGGTTTATAGTAATGGTGCTCACTTGATGCATTTAAGAAGCACTGCTACGGTGTTTACTGTCTCCCAGGAACTGTTAAAAACTTGTTTAATTGTCATAACAAGCCTCGAGGTGTACTGTATCAATGAGAATGCTGAGGCACAGAGAGCATAAGTCTTTGGAGGAAAGGCAACATTGGAAGGTTGGCAGATGGTCTTCAGTGTTTGTGCTGAATCCCTGCAGTCTATCACCTCTCCAAAGGTGCGGACGGTAGATAACATTTGTGATGGGTACTACGTGCCTGACCCTTCTATATGCTTTATAATTCATCACCATAAAATTATATATTCAGTTATCCACCGGAAATCAAAGGTTCAGATTTTGGTTTCAATTTTGGCAATGAACTGAGAGTATGATTTGGGGCACCTCTACCTCTCTGGTTCATTGGATTAGATTATTTATCCTCCAAAGTCTCTTCTAATTGTAAAGTTTTAGAATTTGAAGACTATCTTAAACGTCTTGAAAAGACGTTTTTTGGCTTCTAATTTTAGTGATTATTGGTATCTGGGGTCTGTCCGTACCCATTTTGTCATCCCATTTTTTGTTCTCTGGTTGCTTTAGGTTTCTAATGCTAAAATTGAGTACTCTGTCTAGAGCTTTCATCTCCTACTCTCTCATTCTTGAAAAATTATTTTGTTTGCTTATTTACACAAATTTTAAATTTGACAGAAAGATGTAGGTGCCTTTGATTCAGATAACATGTTAAAGATAAAAAGCCCTATTGGCAAACAGAACAAAACAAAACAAAAAACAAAACAAAACAAAACATACCAGAACTTTTAATTTAGATATTACCAGTTCAAAGAGCTCAAAGTGTTTTCTTTTCAATGGTAGTCATCTATATACAGATTTATATGATGCCAAAGCTGTCTAATTATGCAAATATGTTCTAATTTCCATAAGCAAAGGCATTTTCAGTAAGTATTTACATATGATATTGCTATATACTTATGCAAATGATGTTCACTTTCACCTAGTCCCAAGTGATAAACAATCTCCTTGGCCCTCTAGAGACAATGTTCTTGGGAATACGTGAGGCTAAGTAGGAAGGGTAAGATTTCTAGCTCTAAGCCAATGACATGAATGTCATAGTTAATATTCATAAAGGATAATCTGCTGCTATCCAGCCTCCTTTTGCTTCTCATTTCATCATGGTCTAATGCTTTAGAACCATTCTCTGTTTTACAGATGACACTGGGGACAGCACACAAATTCCAAAGGTACCTCAGGTCTCCTCTAGAATGAAGCACATTAAACAAGAGATGGCCAAAAATCACCTTCAGTTTGTGCGATTTGAAGCAACAGATCTTCATGGGGTGTCCAGGTCTAAGAGTATCCCTGCACACTTCTTCCAGGTGAGTTTTACAAGTCGAGTTATGACTGGATGCAATTTCATGACCATTAGCAAGCCAACAGTCCTTATTACTCTTTCTTATTTTATTGTAATCCACACAGCAACTTCAGCTGAAAACCAATACTTTATTTTGTTTCTTCTCTTGTCCCTTCCCAAACACATTATTGCTCCCCAAGGAGCTGAACACATAATTTCAGCTCCCAAACAGCCATTCCTTTACCCAATAGAAATATAAAACTAATTAAGACTGGTAATTTTAGTCCTTCTGCTTTGAATAATTTCCCTCTACAGAATTATCTTTTCTCTCTTACTGCAATTATGAAGATTATATTTTGTCTGACATGAGAAAATTGCAACAGAAGACCCAGGAGCAAATATAAAAGGGGGAAAAATAATTAAATAGAAAGAAATTTCCTAGATAAAAAGCATATCCCTTTTAGCTTCTATTTCTGATAAGAAAATACTCTATTGTTGGATGACTTAATGATTATTAAGTTCTCCAAAATAGTGATATTAAGAAATATTATATTTTTAGGTATGTTCTAAGATTGTAAGATTTTTTTCAATTTTATGATGTCTTCATTTTAATGACAGGTACACTAGTATTGTGCAACTGAAACATGACTTTTTAGGAATGAGACATCCCTCATATTATATAAAAATATAATAGTTAAGCATGCTGTAAATTAAAATATATAATTGTTATCCCTGTAATATCAAATTGTAGTTTTTCTCATAGGTTTTATGCTGGGGAAAAACTGTGCATCTTCAAAACACCTTTTAAAACAATGCTAACAGATTCAAATTTGTTTCTTAAGAAATTCTTTAGCCGAAACCGGTTTGGCTCAATGGATAGAGCGTCCGCATACGGACTCAAGGGTCCCGGGTTCGATTCCAGTCAAGGGCATGTACCTTGGTTGCGGGCACGCCCTCAGTAGGGGTTGTGCAAGAGGCAGCTGATCGATGATTCTCTCTCATTGATATTTCTAACTTTCTATCCCTCTCTCTTCCTCTCTGTAAAAAATCAATGAAATATATTTTTTTTAAAAAAGAAAAGAAATTCTTTAGATCAGCCTGTAGATATTGTTTTCTCTTAATCCAGGCAAGAGCACATGTTGGTTACTTCTGATAACAAAATGTGAAAGGTATGTAAAATGTATTGTGGATAGGCCCAGGAGCTAATTCACATGACTTTCTTTCAGTCAATAAGAACCCATAACTGGCACTTCAGGCACTTGTCAGAGACGTCAATATAAAACTTTTTGTTATTCAGTTTTTGCCAACTTCTAATAATTTAATCTACTAATGGCATCTGAAACTACATTTTTAAGACCTTACTCTAGTTCCTCAATGGAACTCCGTTATGAAAATATAATTTAATATGCTCCCTACATTTGCTGAGCACTGATACAATTGATGTACAGAGAAAACTTCTGCATTCTATTTTTTTTATTGCTATTGAAAATATTTTCCGTTATTTTATTCAATGTCTCATATAGAAGAATCACTTTTATTTTTTTCTGGAATTTAGATAGGGCACTTGCTGTTTATTCTGAACTCCAGTTTTCTAAAATTATTATTATTTAATGATTCTACAGTAGCTACATATTTTTTTTAACAAAACAACTCAAATTTATTTTGGAACTTTTGAAAGTATAATTAAGGATGAGTATTTATTTGCAGCATGAATATTTATAATTTAGGATTAAATTGATTTTGGACAATTTATCATGACTAGACATTAAAAATAGATTAATCTGTGCAAACCAATCTAAATACCGTGTGTCTGGCTCAAATGGCATGGCTCAGTGGTTGAGCATTGACCTATGAGCCAGGAGGTCATGGTTCAATTCTCAGTCAGAGCACATGCCCAGTTTGCAGGCTCGATACCCAGTGGAGAGGCATGCAGGAGGCAGCAGGTCAATGGCTTGTCATATTGTAATCCTCATAGTTAACCATCTCTCAGAAGTCTACAGTAAAGAATTGGTTCTTTTTCAGTCCTACAACACACACCTGAGCAGCCAGGTCTGCTCACCATTGATGTTTCTATCTCTCTCTCCCTCTCTCTTCCTCTCTGAAATAAATAAAAATATATTTAAACATTGTATGTTTGTATATATATAAATCTACCTGTATATGTATAGACATACAATTCTGTATGGGAAGTTTATTAAACAGAGTGGAGTCAATAATTTGAATTTGCCAATGGCTTAGAGAAAAGTAATTTTAATCTTTATAAAGTAATTTTTTTTCTATTTGGGGAAAATAAAGTATCAATTTGAAAATTATTGTTAGATCATGGAAAGATATAACATAATTTAATTCATTGACTTCATTATAGATGAGGAGAGTAAGGCCTTAGGAAGTTAAGAAAAGCTTTTAAAAAATAGTACAGGCAGTTAGTGGTAGAGCGGGGACATTAGTCAGTGGTTCTTCTCTTCCATTTCCACTGTTTCTCTCTCTCTCTTTTTTAACTGCACCTTCTGTCTCCAGCTCTGCTTTTATATTTCCTTTTATTGTTAATTTGAGCTAAGTGTTCTTTCTTATAAAATTGAAAAAAACATTGATTTTTTTTTTTAAACAAGCCATCTACAAAGACTAGAGGAAAAACTGTTACATAATTGGAAAAGGCCAAATGGGGAACCTTTGAAAATGATGGTATCCACATTGTAGAGAAAACTCACCATGTGCCCGCCATTATGCTCATTGCCTTACAAATATTAGTTTATTTAAACCACACAACCAACTTATACTATCTGTTCTATCAAAGGATTAGTTTTTATTTAAGTTATATGCAGATTCTATCTTTGATTTAATCAAAACATGATATAGAACTCATGACTAATTCTTTGGTTGTTTCAAAAGGTGACTTTTAATATGGCCCAAAATGTCAGGGGTCATAGAGATTGGAGCTATTCTGTAAGAATTTTTATTGATTCTCTGGTGATTCATATTGCAGTGTGAAATTGCCCTACTGTTTATATTTTTAAATATAAATAATGTAAGATAACAATCGTCATGAACAATGTCTCTGTGTATATATTTATGTATTTCCCACTACTAATAAAGAGTAGTTTGCATTCTGAATATTCCTAAAAGAAAATGACAGTTTAAAAGAGTGCTCAGAAAAACACAGATTAAATAACCTGAAGGGTAAAGTGTTTACTTTTTACTATTCTTTAAATTCATGAAGAGTAACATGGCAGCAAGCTGTTCTCTATTGTTCACAATCAAGTGCGTGCAAACACAGATTTAAATTGCAGCAACTCTCGGAAGCCTCATGAATAAAATACATCACTCCTCATTTTAGATACAGAACTAACGTACAGATTTTCAAACTAAAAAATATGACAAGTTAGGGAAATCACATTATTTTCTTACAGTGAAAATTTGAATGAAAGGATTTCATTCTAAAGTGCTCTAAAATCCATAATGTGTGTAAGTGTGTGACATGTCTATATACAAGTCTATGAATGACTTAAAAAATCAGGCAATAGATGAGCAGTGCTCACCTTACTCAACATTATTACTGCTGAAAGCACATTTGGCCCAGCCAAGTCAAATGGCATTTGAAAGTATGTGTAGAGACAGTGGGAAGGGAAGGAGGCTCACAACCGAAGGCAGAAGAGTGAACTGGTAGATTGTGTCTGCTACACTAACACCTCCTTGGCAACCATGCTCTTGAGGTTTGGAGGTAACATAGGAAACAATCTGGCTTGCAGAATGCCAGTACATTTTCATTTTATTTTATTTTTAAATATTTTATTGATTTTTTTACAGAGAGGAAGGAAGAGGGATAGGGAGTTGGAAACATCGATGAGAGAGAATCATCAACCAGCTGCCTCCTGCACATCCCCTACCAGGGATGTGCCTGCAACCAAGGTACATGCCCTTGACCGGAAACGAACCTGGGACCTTTCATTCCGAAGATGACGCTCTATCCACCGAGCCAAATGAGTTTTGGTACAGTACGTTTTATTAACCTCATAAGGCTCAGTGACATCATGGGAACCACACTTTATACACGGCTTTTTCTCTGTCCATTAATGTAAACTTCAACACATGAAGCCTTGTTGATATTCCTATGACACCATTTCTAGAAATTGTGTTTTTGTGTGTGTCTGCTTGACTTTATCACCTCATCCCTTTCCTGTTGTTTGGCACATAGCAAAAGTTAAATAAATGACCAAATCCATTGAACCCAAGAGGGTACATGGCTAAAAGTGCCATAGCGATCACCTAGTCTAGCTTCTGTTTCATAGAGACGGATGTGAAGGTACATGGTCCGAGTTGCCTAACTTCACACAAATAATTAATGTAAGAGCCAGGACTAGAAGTCAGATTTGGTGAGCCCCAGTTCATGCAGACTTGAAAGCTATAATGTTTTGGAAGCTGTAATCATGGAGATATAGGTTCTCATTCCCAGGCAAGGTTTTTGGGACTCTGAGACTGTGAGGTAGCTCATTCTTAGTGGGTGTAAAAGCGAACGAAGAGAGGAGTGTAGCTGTCCGCAGACCTGGCTTCTCAGGTGTGTATCGTGGGACTGACTACACTCAGCTCTCTGAAGAGGACTTGCAGTTCTTCACTGCAGAGTTCTGAGAGGCTGTTTGCTATGGGGATTACAGCAGGACAAGCCCAAAGCAAGCCTTATCTGAAGTATTAGGAACGATGCCATAAAACAAAAAGAACCTTGGAAAGTACTTCTGGTCATGACCATCCTCTCTAATAAAAGAGAAACATGCAAATTGACCGTGTCTTTGCTACACCACAAGCCACACCTACAAGCCAATCAGGGCGAGCAGGCAAATGAACCCAACCAAGGTGGCGGTTACTTTGCATATCCAGGCCAGAGTGAAGACTGAAGACAGCTAGAAAGAAGCCAAGTGCCACAGAAGGGAGCGAAGCTGCAAGAAGCAAGTGTGGCCGAAACCGGTTTGGCTCAGTGGATAGAGCGTCAGCCTGCAGACTTAAGGGTCCCAGGTTCGATTCCAGTCAAGGGCATGTACCTTGATTGCGGGCACATCCCCAGTAGGGGGTGTGCAAGAGACAGCTGATGGATGATTCTAACTCTCTATCCCTCTCTCTTTCTCTGTAAAAAAATCAATAAAATATATTAATAATAAAAAAAAAAGAAGCAAGTGTGGTGGTGAAGGGAAGCAGGCGGGGCAGCAGAGATCACAGCAGGAAGCCCCATTGCAGGAATCTTCCTGCAAGGGGCCTCTAGTTTCAAATAATTTCGTAAGGCTTAACTTTACCTTTGCCATTTGGTCTCTAAAGACATTTCCTTAATCACCTTTTATTTAAATAAAATACCTTTTATTTATGAAGGTTATTTTCAGATTGGAGAGCCTATGAAGCCTTTCAAGGCTAAAAACAATGAGTTGCTTACAAAAGTACCATTGGGGTTTTCTTCAAAAAAAAAAAAAAAAAATTAAAACTAAATCAATGCTCACAAATTGATGTTTAACAGCCTCCCCCCTCTCCCCCTGCACCCTTACCCCTTCATCCCTTCCTTGCCCATTTATGTTTGTTTTCAAGTTTCAAAACTTAATCGCTCTATCCTTTAACTTTAGGAAAAAGTGGCCCACGGCGTTCTCATGCCCCGAGGTTACCTGGAATCCATACCCAATCCCAAGGGCGGCAGCGACGTGGATCATCACCTCAGGGCCACGTGCTTCCACAGTGACATCGTCCTGCGGCCTGAGCTGTCCACCTTCCGGGCGCTGCCGTGGGCGGCGCGGACGGCGCGGGTGATCTGCGATCCGGTCACGGTGGCGGGGGAGCCGGTGCGGACGTCCCCGCGGCACCTGGCCCGGCGGCAGCTGCGCCGGCTGCGGGGCGCGGGCTTCTCGCTGCTCTCCGCTTTCCTCTACGACTTCTGCCTGTTCGGGGTGCCCGAGGCCATGCACCCCAAGACCGTCTCCTTCCCGGCTCCCCTCCTGCTCGGCGATCACCACCAGCCCTTCCTCCAGGAGCTAGTGGACGGCCTGGATGGCGCGGGGGCCACGGTGGAGAGCTTCTCCTCCTCCACCAGGCCGGGCCAGGTGGAGCTCTGTCTGCGGCCCGCCTTTGGCATCGGCGCCGCGGACAACGCGTTTACCCTCCGAGCGGGCGTCCAGGAGGTGGCCCGCAAGCACAACTACATCACCAGCTTCTTCGTCGAGACTGGGCTCTGCAACTCGGGGATCTTGTCTCACAGCCTGTGGGATGTGGGAGGGAAGAACAATCTGTTCTGCAACGACACCGACACCGGCACCAGCATCGGCACCTGCACCAGCACCTGCCCCGAGCCCACCCAGCTGCTTACCACCACCGGCAGGCGCTGGGTGGCCGGGCTCCTGCAGCACTCGGCCGCGCTCAGCTGCCTGCTGGCTCCCGCCGGCAGCTGCCGCAAACGCTACTCCAAGGAGCGCCTGGACCCCAAGGACAGGGTGCCCGCCACGTGGGGCTACAACGACAGCAGCTGCGCCTTCAATGTCAAGTGTCACGGGGAGAGGGGCGCCCGGGTGGAGAACAACCTGGGCTCCGCCACGGCCAACCCTTACCTGGTGCTGGCCGCCACGGTGGCCGCGGGCCTGGACGGGCTTCAGGGCAGCGGTGATGCCCTGCCCGGCCCCGAGGGGGACAGCCCCGGGCTTGGTCCGGCCCCGTCGCCTCCCGGGATCCCTTTGAAGCTGGAAGATGCGCTGGCCGCGCTGGAGGAAGATGCGTGTCTGCGACAGGCCCTCGGAGACACGTTCATTGGGTATTTTGTGGCCATGAAGAAACATGAGCTGGAAAACGAAGAAACGGATGCCGAGAGAAACACGTTCTTGGAGTATTTTATTTAGAATGGGTCCCCTTAAACCAGTGTTTCCCAAAGTGTGGTACGCGTACCCCCAGGGGTACCGGAAGAGTTTGGTGGGGATATGCAGTGCACCGTGCTTAGCTACGTTCCCATGAGTACGAGGGGTACTCAGCGTTACGAAAATTATAGAAGGGGTACACATATGTCAAAAAACGATCCCTTGAGAGATGTGCTTTGTGACTTTTAAGTAGCTGAGCTAGCAGAAAGGGGAGGTGGCGCTTTGGTAATTAACGGGAAGATGACAAGTGCTGTCACTCTGTTATTTCGTTGCCATGGAATAGCTGACAGATGAGGTGGGCTGCTGAGGGGACTCTGATAGCAATAAAGTTGCCGTGGAGCTGTGCTACGCAAACTTACCGTGTCCTGTCCGGGGGTCCTCATTTCCTGTGTATGTTGTAATATTCAGGTTTTCTTTTTTTTCTTTCTTTCTTTTTTTTTTTTTTTAAGGCAACATATATATTCATACAATAAAAATCAATAAAAATGTCTTAAGATTGAGAAAGCAAAATTTACATCACTTAAAAAAAAAAAAAAAAAAAAAAAGAGCCCTAACCGGTTTGGCTCAGTGGATAGAGCAGCGTAGGCCTGCGAGCTGAAGGGTCCCAGGTTTGATTTCGGTCAAGGGCATGTACCTTGTTTCAGACACATCCCTAGTGGGGGGGGGGGGGTGCAGGAGGCAGCTGACCGATGTTTCTCATCGATGTTTCTAATTCTCTATCCTTCTCCCTTCCTCTCTGTAACAAACCAATAAAATATATTTAAAGAAAGAAAGGAAGGAAGAAAGAAAGAAAGAAAGAAAGACAGACAGAAAGGAAAAGAATCTCAATCATACAGATAGGTTGTGACTGCCAGGGAGACAAGAAAACTTGCTAATATAATCTCACGAATCAAAACATTATGGGGATCTATTTTGCAAGCATCATCGGGTGTTTCTAAACAAGTTAAATAAGTTTTGCAAAAATGTGTCATGATGACAGGTCAGCAAAAGAGTTCCCACATGACCCTTCTCTTTTTACCCCTCTTCATTAGCAACTCCTGAGAGGCTGAGGAACTTCAAGGCTATAAGGTCCACAAGGAAAAAAAAATCCACAAGAAATAGAATTCAGGCTGGGAACGACGAGGCCAACTGTTTTAAACCATATTTTAAAGCGGAGCCAGGCCCATAGACAAAGTAAGGTGGGATGGGTATATGTGTGGGCATGGGTGGGCTCTGCATGCTTTGCTCCCTCCTTTGAAACTAGAGATTTCAAAGACACCGCAGGTGCTTTGTGAAGCGTGAAAACAACTGCCTAGATAACCAGGGCTATGTTTGCAGCTTAAATTTGTATTTCAATGACTGATTCTGCTGCCCACAGAGGCCAGGGTTCCTCCAGAGAATATTTGTCCGGGACCTGAATGAGATAATACTGTAGCTATCCCTAAAGGTTAGCTTCTTTTGGGAAAAATGCCAAAATCCACTTACCGGCAAATGAAAACCCTATTCTAGTGCTTAGGATCAAACAGGAGATTTGTGTTCAATTAAAACGGACTGTGTTCTCAATTTAGATAGCAAATACACGAGCTGAGGATTAAAATTTGGCTCAGATTCTCCTATTCAACTTTGTAGTAGAGTAGTCCTGTCTTATCTGGGGGATTACATTCCAAGACCCCCCGTGGCTGCTGAAACTGAGGATAGTCCCGGGCCCTAAATATATTGTTTTTTTCTTCTTCTATATATAGATAGTCAGGTTTTCACTTAAAGGAAGCACTTTATGCTTCTCTTTAGCTTCCCAAACTACAACATTACTACTCCTGTGCTTTGGGGCCACTAGTAAATATAATAAGGGTGACTTGCATGCAAGACAGTTGATCTGATAACACACAGGGCTACTGAGTGACCAGTGGGTGGCTAGCATGTACACCATGGATAAGATGAACAAAAGAATGATTCACGTCCTGTCCGCAGAGAGAGAGGGACAGTGTGGGATTTCACCACGCTACTCAGAAGGGTGTGCAATTTAAAACTTATGAATTGTTGCCCTGGCAGGTGTGGCTCAATTGGTTGAACATCATCCCGTGCACAGAAAGGTCAATTCTCAGTCAGGGATAGATGTGTCTCTTTCTCTGTCTCTATCTCTGTTCCTCTCTCTCTCTCTCTCTCTCTCTCTCTCTCTCTCTCTCAAATCAGTAAAAACATATTTACAAAAAATAAATAAAACTTATGAATTGCTTGTCTTTGGAATTTTCCATTTCATTTTTTCAGACTGTGGCTTGGATAACTGAAACCATGAAAATCAGATGAGGGAACGACGACTATTCTACTCACTAGCTTAACTAGCGACAGTTGGTCTGCCCTTCACTAATTGCTCCCATCCCTTCTTTGAGCAGGAATGTGTTTTCATACAGAAGAATAAGGATCTTTGTGGATTAAGTGGTGGAAAGGAAGGTAGTGTAAGGGTGGGTAAACAAGGAAAGGAATCTTCCCTGAATCCTCCGAGAATGAGATCCCACACACTACAGCACGTCAGGGAGAGGAGGGAGCAAGCCCACGGCAGCTTGCTCATTGTCTGCCCAAGTTCACTCTCCCCTCTCTTTCCAGGAATAACACCTAAATATGTCAGTTGGGAATAAAGTCCAACAAAAATCAAAGTGGCATTTCTGAGTTCCCATTGTGGCTGAGTATGGTCATGTTATTGGGTTTAGGCCAAGGGGATTTAAGGAGAAGTGCTGTATGGATGCTCTGAGGAACTTCCTTAAAGGACCGATGAGCTGCTCCTGGTCCTTTCTCCATCTGTCTGCCTTTGCCCTTCCTGCTGGCTGGCCTCAGATCAAGTGGCTGGAGGCCACACAAGGCAGAGTAACAAGATGGAAGCTATGTTTTGTGGGCCAGAACTCGATTTGCCTACGTTCAGATTGTTATCCGAGAGAGAAAGCAACATCTGTCTCCCGTAAGAAACAGTGATTTGGGGTCTTTATTACTTGTGACAAACTTTATATTCTGTCTTACTTATCTGTGAGTGTGACTGATTGTGTGTGTATGAGTGACATGTCTGAATGTAGGTGTGTATGGGAAATCTGAGAAAACGGGGATGAAAGAATCCTATGTAATAAAAGCCTAATATACTAATTGACCGAATGGTGGACTGACTGGTTGGTAGGACCACCAGGGGGCAGACACCCAATGCAGGAGCTGCCCCCTGGTGGTCAGTGTGCTCCCACAGGAGGAGCGTCACTCTGCCAGAAGCCCGGCTCATGGCTGGTGAGTGCAGCAGCGGTGGCGGGAGCTTCTCCCACCTCTGCTGCGATGGGTGGTAAGGAGTGAGGGGTCCCAGACTGAGAGAGCCCTGGACTTTGAGAGGGATATCTGACTGCTGGACATCCCCTGAGGGCCTGGACTGTGAGAGGGCACAGGCTGGGCTGATGATCCCCACCCTCCCCTGTACACGAATCTCATGCACCAGGCCTCTAGTGAAGATATAAGAAGTGAAAGCCTATGTCCTCAATCTTTCCACTCCCAAAGAGGAGAATCTGAGTTAGAGGGATCCACACATGCAAAACAAATTGTATTGTCTCTCACCCTAACAGAGTTCTAGAGACCCGTTCTGAGTCTATGGGTCTTTGTAAAACACATCTCATGCTTTGGCTTGGTTTTACATCAATGGGTTAAAGATGTTGTAAAAAACCCTGCTAATCACAGTGTTTGCAGCCTTTATTTCCCCCCCCCCCCCTTATACCTTTTATTAGCATTTAAAAAACACAACATTCAGGATGCCAGTCTGAGGAAATTATGGGAATATTGTCTTTAGGGTTCAATGTAGTGAGGTGACAGAGAATAGTCAGCCGTGTGCTCCCAGTCAGTTATAGCATAAGTTGGTGTGGCCATTTCCCCTGAGATGTGGGTTGATGTTCCTTCTTATTGTATAAGGCAAACCAACAATAAACATTGGCCTAGAGAGTTTAGGCTAAAGGAAAATTGGGGTAGGTGTGAAAACTCAGTTATTGGTTTCTATTTTGTAGGGGACTTTCTGCTGATGCTTCTAGGTGCCTTCTTAATCTATTATAGCTAAGAAGGCCAGACTGACATTCAGCGGCATTTGTTGGGCATCTTTTGTGTGCTGAGTCTTCTGCTAGGACTCATGGCACGAGGAGAGACCGAGACAAAGAAGATGAGGAGATCATGGCAGAGATCTGGATCTGTGTGTCTTAAGCAGAACAGAAAGACTTTGTTTGTACCCCTGATGCTGAAAAAAAAACCAAAAAACAAAGACCTACTTCCAAGGCTGCTTTTATGGCTTGAAAAGGATGCTTTATGAATCTCTTTACAGAAATTACTTTCTTATTTTCATTCACTATAATTGTTCTAATCAAAGCTTAGGGGAAAATGTGATTACTGAATTTAAAGTTGGTTATTAAATGAGTATACATGAGAAATGTAAATTAAAAACAATAATATTTTAAAGACTGGAAAGTAAAACATTAGTATCATGGCAAGAAGTTTCTATTTTCAAGGACATTTTATGATCTGAAATTTCATTTTACAGTGAGTGTCTGAATAACAATGAAGCTTGAAATGATTTGAAGGCACTGAAAGATCTAAAAACCAAATATGAATAAAAATTGAAAGCACACAGTGCAGTCTGAACTTATCAGCATCACACAGCAGCCTATTGACATATCTCCAGTCACCTGTATAACAAAACAGACTTACCAATATGTTTGTGATATAGGTATTATCGAACGATACCTTTAATCTTGGTCTTTCTATTACAGGTGTTGGGACCTGTATCTCTAAACATTGTGTATGTGCATGGTGCCTTGCATGTTCCCTGCTAAAGCTCCTCTCATGTTACCTATAGTTAGTGGTTTATCTTACAGCTTTCCTAATTAGGATGTGAGTCCTAAGAACGAATGGCACAGATCTTATTCATATTTATAGCTATGTTTTTTGTCCCTTGCTGATGTTCTGGAATTCAATAACCATTTAATGAATCAATGGATTAATCC